GCAGAACGAACCATCGTCTCTTTACTCGAAGTCGTGATCACAAGCTTAAAAAAAGACAGCATTCTCCAGAAAACCTCACGATGTTCAGGTAAATGATCAGACACTCCGAGCTTACTTTGTTTCCTGATCCCAACCAACCCTTCCGTTTTCTGTGATCAATTAACAAGCTATTTAAACTTTTGTTACGATATTTGTTGTACCTCAGAGACAATTTATATTCGCCCCGATCGATTTTCTTCCCCACATCTAAAACAACTCCGTCGTAGAGTGAAGCGTGCCTTCAAAATGCATAAGCTCGATGACGTGCGCTGCCTTTCTAAATCCATTCGGACTGAACTTCGAAGGCTAATCTCTTTATACCCCCGTGCGTGGCTTGACAACAAAAGTAGTCGTGACATCTAGCAAGCCCTCATGCGGATTTCTGGTATCGAATTCTCGCACCGCTCACCTGCTGCAGTGGACATAGATGGTGTGAATCAGGGTTTCATCAACAGTGGAACCGCTCGTACTGCTCTACCTAATGGATATGAAATAAACACGAATGACCCCGTCTCCAGCTTTGCACCTGTCGATATTTATCAAGAGTTGGCTCGAATAAATCCTCACAAGTCTTACAGCCCCAACGGAGTCTCACCCGCTGTCCTGAAAAAATGTGCTACCTTCCTTTCCCCTTTACTGAGTGAACTTTTCAATGATTGTATTTCGCAAGAACGTAAACCCGAATGCTGGACAGTAGTCTCTATCACCTCTGTACCGAACAAAGGATCCTCAAAATTCTGTTTCATTGCCTGCACCTCAGTTGTCTTGAAGGAGTTTGAGAGGCTCCTCATTAAGACCCTGTTCACACAATTCAATGTTGGTGACCCTAACCAGTTTGCATACACCCACTCCCGTGCTACCCTGGATGCCCATGCTTATCTGTCCTACTTTGTTCTATCCAACCTGTATAATAAAAGCAAGGCTGTAAGCATATTTTTTTGACTAAGTGATGCTTTTAACACAATTAATCGACAAATTTTGCCAAACACATTTTCTTCTGGAGGAATTCAACCTTCTACCAATGAAT